TAACAATAACATTTTAAAAAAAAAGATTAAAATTAACAATTAAATCAATCATTTATTTTATTTTGTTCAGGCCAGGCCAGCCAGAGTGCGGGCATGTATGTGTGCCGGAGTCCCAGAAACTGGAAGACCAGCTGTCTGGTGCGCATGTGCACACTGGCCACCTGGTCTTCTGGCATGCACATACTTGCCAGCCAGCTGGTCTTCGTGAGCATCGGAGCTCCGGAAACCTGAAGACCAGCTGACCAGCACGCACTGGCCAGTTGTCTTCGGAGTTTCCGGGGCTTTGGCACACACAAAGATCAGTTGGCCGGCATGCAAGCACACACCAGAAACCAGAAGAGCAGCTGGCGACAGCATGCATGCCCACAGAGAGGGCTCTGTGTGCCCGATCTCACAGGTGTGCCATAGTTTCACCATTACGGGCCTAAGCCTTCCACATTTTGATACTTTCAGCAACCAAATTACCCTGATACTCACCTTTCTGAATCCTACCATCAGCTTCGGCTGCTCCCTTAGGAATGATTGCCTTCACATAAAGTCCTCCATACTTCACACTGGTGTTCACGCCACCCTACAGAATTTTTTTTAAAAAAGGCATTAACACAAAATATATGTTTTTACCAGAAGACTAGAACTGAAATACTGATCGCTAAATCCAATGGCTTAAGTAGTCCATGCAATTGCCTGACTCGTGCAAGCGTTTCAAGCAGAAATAAGAAGCAGACAAACTAAACCTCACAAGGACAACAGATGGTTTTTAAGTTACACGAAAATTAAAGATAGAGGCCAATTTCAGGCAGCATGGGTGGTTAGAGAACTCTGGGAACTGAAGTTCATACACCTTGAAATTACCAATTTGAAAAAATACAGATAAAGAGAAAGAAGGTGATCTCATTATAAAGACTTTAGACATGGACTGAAATAGTCACGGCTGCTAAGATTAGCTTATCTAAAAACCTACGCAGGTGAGTATGTTCAGGTAGTCCTTGATTTATGACCACTTCTGACCCGACATATCTGTTGCTACACAATAGCAATAGCAATAGCAATAGCAGTTAGACTTATATACCGCTTCATAGGGCTTTCAGCCCTCTCTAAGCAGTTTACAGAGTCAGCCTATTGCCCCCAA